TTGTCGATTTTGGAGGGACACGTGAAAGGCCAAGAACTTAACGAGCCATCGACGCAACTCAACTCCTTTCATGTCAGGATATGACGCATGCTGCTGTAATAGTGTATGCTTCTGCTCGATTGTCAGTTGTAACCGCGACAGCGGCGGCGCCATATTGAGTACCTAGTGTGAGTGTCGTCAACATATGTTGCATTATTTGCCTGGTTATTTTAAAAGTTGAATATTCCTCTTGGATTTTATGATTGGTTTGCACACAAAATTATATTTACTGAAATCATATAGATTTATGGTGGGTTCATTATTCTGGGCGACTTCTGTGAAACCCCGGACCCCTTATCTTGCTGCTCCCGGAGTTATGTAAGTGCATCGCCAGTAGTTAGAAAAGAACAATAGTACGTAGTACTATTACAAACTGACCGTAAGTTAGCTTATTGGACTCTACAGTACTAGTAGTATACTAGTACTACCATGCATACACTCGTGCTGTACTTGAGCGCGGGTGTTTTGCAGGCAATTTCGAAATGACATGTATATGGCTACCTCGGGTAGAAGTGCAAATTGGGTGGGCTTCCCTGTCAGTAAGTGATTCTTCTTGGTCTATTGGCTGGTTGGATTGCACTGACGCTTGGATACCCTACTGTACAGTACTTCGAAGTAGTGGTACACGCTCATTCACGGCTTGGGTGTGCAAAACCGGAGGTTGCATCCAAAAGTTTCCAGCAGAGATATATAGAAAATTCAAGTGCCATTTTCGAGTCTAACGTTACAACTTCTGTCAAACGTGAATCTACTGTACAACTTCTGGCAAGAATGGACAACTGCAACCATACATGTACAGGTAGGTACACTCGTGTACTTGAACTTTGTATACCTGATATATATCAGCATCATTTTGATCAGTAGGCCTGTATGCAATGTTATATCATTATGCTAATTTACTACCTCTCGACAAATTAGGATATGACCTAATTTTGTTGTTGGGCACTTGAATGACTATCATTGACTAGTATAGATATCATAAATAGAAATAGTACATACTGTACTTATCGCAACGCATCCAAACTACATACATTTTCCACTACAGTACTCATAAGGGGTCCGGGGTTTCGAGCTTTCGCACACGGCATCACGGCGCTCGGGGTCATCGGAAGGCTTGGTCACTACTTTAGGCTTCATCCAACCATTCAATTTCATCCAATTTCATCCAAATAATTTCATTCACAGTTAATGCCATCCAAATATCATCCAAGTTCTGGCTACTACTACTAGTACGTAGTACTAGTACACGTATAATAAATTCAACAATTACTACCAGTATTATTACACTACTACTAGTACTCCGGAGTACTATTATAGTACTAATAATACAGTACTATAATGTATCAAACAGAGTATAATAAATACTACGTAGTATTACTAGTAGTACATTATTAATACATTTGATAAATAAACACAGGTATTGGATTCCAAAGTGTAAGGACTTTATAAGATCATACAAGTTGACATTAGCAGAGTAAAAAGTCCACCGACACAGATGAGCCCACTCGAAGGCGTTCAAAGGCATCCATCAACGATACTTGAGGTACAACGCCCGTGTGAGCTCAACAATTCCGAATAGTCGTAGCTGACACCTCGTCCCAATTCTAAGGGTGCTCGGCTGTCCTTAAGAATGCACCCATCTGTGCTTGAGTGGATGACACATCCAAACTCTTTTTTGGCCCACTCGCACTCCTGAGCTAGGGTCAATGACCCTTCTGGCTGGTTTTTGTAGAAGACACGCAATGTATATTTTTCTTGCAAGGTCAATCTTCTTCCACAGGATGGCATTTCGTCTGACGAGGAGCCAATTTTGAATTTCAAATCGATCCTCTAGAAATTAATAATGATAAGTTTTTGGAAAATATTGAATATGCCCTCGTGCAAAAATGGGGGCATGACACATGTTTGCGACATAACAGTAGGGGTAACTTGAAGTTGTAGATTCTGGGTTTCGGAGTTGCAGATTCTTAAAATGCTGGAATGATAGGTACCGTATATCCGAAGTACAGTACTGTACAAGTATGTCCTTCCAGGTGGGTGATATTTCACAACCAGACGACATTGGTGGTTAATTGAGTTTGGATTAAGGTAATCCGTCAATATCGCGAACGCTTTTTGTGCACTAAAATGTCAAATGTTTGAAGAACTCCACCACAAAAAGTCCTTCGAATAAAAAGAAACTAACTGTAAAGGTAGCGTTGGAAAATACAAATCCATCTGCATTTTTTAGTGCCAAGAAGTACCTGAAA